TCTGGCTACGGCTTCGGTGAACTCGCCGGGGCTCTGGGTGTCCGCCCGGAGATCCGTAAAGTGAGTGATATGACCATCCACTCGGGTGATCATCCTCCTTCGCCTGTCGACCCCATCAACCTCGATCAACCCCAAGCACCTCAAACAGATCCCCAGGCCTTGTCGGAAGAAGACCTTCTTGGACATGATGTTGCCGATCAGACCAACTCTTCATCCAACACCATCGTCGGTGTGGACCCTCGGCCGGACCGAGCGTCCAATCCTCTCATGGACTTGCAACCGCTATCATCATCAACTTTGACGACGTCTGCTGCTACGACTACTGCTACTGCTAATGCTGCTACTGCTGAGTCAACGATAGAACCCCAGCACGACACGATAAACGAATACCACACGAAAATTTATGCTAGCTCTCCAAACATACCTAGCTGCACCGCTCCCACTCGACCAAGTCATACCACTTCCAACCCTTTGCAGTCTGACTCCACCAGTCTCCATAGTTTTTCTCACTCTTCTCTTCAGCTTTCAACATCCTCCCAACCTCAAACTCTTTCTGCTTCGTTTTCATCGCAACATGGACCAGCATTCAGCTCTATCGACCCAGCTCAATCTCCTTATCATCATCCCGATTCTACTTCTCCATTTGAACACGTTCCACCCTCCACCACCGTTGGACTCAATCCTGCCGCCGGCTATCGCCCTTCCCAATTCATGACCCATCATCGCCGAAGTCACAGCAAACCCGATGGTCGCAGTAGCATGTTTATGAATCCATTCTTACCTGGAACTCCTCTCTGCGGTCCCTCCTCCATCAATAATCCTCCCCCCCTACATTCCTCCGACACTTCATCTCCACATCCACTCAACTTTTATCATTCGCACGCCCCAAACCGTAGCCCTTTGGCTGTCACGCCCACAAGGCATCGGCTCAGCATCTCTTCACAACCAGGCAGTGCATCCGGCCCCTTACTTTCATCCGGCACCAACCGGCACCGATCTTCATCAACTGCCACCGGGACGGCCCGTGGATGTGATATCATTCACCGACACCCCTTGGGAACAGCTAGCGGCTCCGACCTGGGGAACCCAAGCTTCGGTACTACCGCCACGGCGATGGGTCTTTTCAGTCATATATCCTCCTCCCCACACGCTTTCACCAAAGACGCACATTCATCTAGTCAGTCATTCTCGGAGTCGCTTGGTAGAGATGATTGTAAGCCCGATACCAGTGGCAATATTAATCAAATGGAACATACCAATCAAGGCATTAACCAAATGGAGCCCACAAATCAAATGGAACATACACATCATACGTCGCAAAATCCCCACATGGAACAACCTGGCCAGATGCTACAAACGAGTCAGACCGATGCTACTGATCACAAACCTTTACACTCTCTTCATGCACACCCACCTCTCACGCCAGGATTCACGGGAAGTGCTACATTCAGTTTTGGAAACTCGATGAGCAATCGCGTCAAATGCGACTTGTCCAACTCGGATCTGTCCGATATCGCGAGTGGCAGTGGTGGTGGAGTGGTCGGCTCGTCGAACTCAGCCATGAATCCGATTCCCGTCGGGATGAGGCCTGACTTGGCCAACTTGAAAGATGGTCCCGATGGCCCAAACGGCAAGGTCAGTTTGATTCAACCTGACCTTGACTTTTTTTCACTTCCTGCCGTCCTGCCGCGATTGAATTTTCGGCGTAAACCAAAGTCACCCTATAAGCAGCCATGATATATATATATGTATTTTCCTTCTGACATGTGGTGCTGTAGAATTACACAAAACACGCGAGGTAATTTGTTTTAAAACTGATATTGACTTTTTTTGCACATCCCCTTAGCCCGGATATCCGTATGTGGTCCTCATTCGCTATGCCATCCTGGGCAGTCCTCAGGGGAAGCTTACTCTTCAAGAACTCTATGAAACAATCATGGAACGATTTCCCTATTACCGCACCGCCGGAAAAGGTTGGATGAACTCGATTAGACACAATCTGAGCCTCAACCGTTGCTTCGTCAAGCAGCCTCGTCACATTCTGTTAGTTTATTCCTTCCGACATATATGAAATGTTCTTTAAACCGCTGACTCACTTTGACGTGTGTTGGTTGGCTCAATTTAGGGACCCTGGTAAAGGATCTTATTGGACTGTTGACTTAGAGGCTGAACTATCTACTTCAAGGGCCCGTGATCGAAAACGTGCTAGTGGCAGCTCGAGATCCAGTATTGGTAGCATAAGATCTTTGAAGGGAAGCCGGCGTGATAGTTTGACTGGTGGTGACCCACGTTCACCGACACTTGACGAAATCGTAGGATCCTCTCCCAGTCGGATGCTTTACATGTCTGATGATGAAACAGATGATGTACACGTTCAGCCCCTCGGGAGCTTCGCACCGGAGCCCCCATCGACATTCACGGAGGACGGAGATGGTGATACCATGATGCAAGGCGGCGAATCAGGCTTTCATCAGCCCCCATCAACACCAATCAAGTCACCCAAATCTGGGCGTATCAGTGCCAAACGATCTACTAAGCCTACGAAATTGAAGCAGCAAGGGCTCAAGGTACAAGTGTCTGGCAACTCCGATCTGACCAATAATCACCTCTCTGCCACTTCCTGCTCACCGTCCACGCCAGTGACACCCCATCACCTTTATCATCATGTGAGAAGCTCACTCTCCTCATCTTGAAGAAGCTGTTATCTTATCAAACCTTTCTCTTGACAGGCTGACACATCTCCAGGGCTATCAAACCTTTTACAAAGCCCGTTTCATCCTCAAGCTGGATATGTATCTAGCCCGCCTGATACCATCGGCCGCACCATTCCCAGAAGTGGATCTCCTTATCGCGGAAACACCCTCATGCGTTCTCCTCTTACTTACATTATTACTTATTCCTCAAGTCCGCCCTGCCCTACTACCACAGCGACGTCAGATATTAATCAAATGGACCCCACTTCTCCCAGCTCTTCTGCTTACGGCTTCAGCGCCGGATTAAGCCATCACTACCATCATTCATCCACTACGATGGTCAACAGCCGGGAGGGTGGTCATCCACCCCACAACCCGCTTTCATTCGGAGCTCATCCACATTCAGCCTACCAAGCCGGATTCAATACTTTCAGTCCCCCTCTGATGCACAATCCTCAATCCAGTCCCTCTGGTGGCATTGACGAGCGACATCATCCTACAAGTGCTGGACCGTGGTCGAATTCTTTCCACGCATCGGCTTATCCTACCTCGGTTCCAATGAGAGGTAGTGGCACCGGCCACCATCAGCCCAGTCAAAGTCACAGTGGTGTGTATGGCTTTCAGCCTTCATCCATGGCCGGGGTGGTCCCCCGACCGAGGTTCTCGGTCTCGGCTGGAGGTAACTCGAGACCAGTATCTTCCGAGTCTTCATCCAATCACCCTCCTCACAGTACCACAGGTCGTCAGACGCCTGCATCTAATAGTTCCGACATTTCCCGTCGATCGAGCATCGGCGGCAATGGACCTACGAACTTTACCAGGGTCGACCAATACGTTAATGCCCCTAACAGCAATGAGTCGATCGACAGCTTGGGACGGACACGCGACCCTCGCTCCTTGAAGCCTTTATGAAACACAAAATACATATGTAAAAAGTATGACGTCGATGATGATGAACATGATGATGATAACATTAGCTGTGTGTATGTGTGTAACTGCTTGAAATTGCTTCATTGGATAGATCTTTCTTTCTCTTTCTTCTTATCCCTTTTTTTGGAACAAAACAACGGGATGGCTCTTTTCAAATGTAGCATTCGGGACATATTTCTCATTCCTTGGGGATGTATACCCTACCTCTCCCTGTCTGAACCTATATACATACATACTATACTACTTATTTACAAGATCCAGCTTGTTCTTTTATTTTTTATCTCAGGCACCAAAGTAGTCACGTC